TCTGACTCTTGATTTCGGCTCAGGTCATGATCTCGGGGTCGTGGGATCGAGCCCCGTGTCGGGCTCCACAGTCTGCGTGGAGCCTGCTGGAGATTCTCTCTCTCCCTCCGCCTCTGCCCCCGCTCCCTCTCTCAAATAAACAAAACTTAAAAAAAAAAAAAGGAATACAGACACTTTATGATTTTGGGAATTCCTAAGAGCTCAGGAATTTCTATTCCTTATTCTCAAATTCCAACGTTTAACGGCTGTCAGGAATTTGGAAATACTACCCAAGCACCCTGACCCCAACCGAGGGCATTTTCCACACGGTCAGTCAGCTCCTGCAGCCACTGCAGTGTCCCCTCCGGGTAGAAGGCAGGATCCCCGAGCCACAGGTGCAGGGAGGCCCAGCCAGGCGCCCACAAGACCGTGTTTGCCATCAAGACTGTCAGGACGCCGGGCAGATGCTCTCCTGCCCCCGGCAGCCCTCTGCCCAGCATCCACAAGGCTTAGCTGTGAAGGTGACAGTAACTGCCCTTGCAGAAGGAACCAGAAGGACCACGAGGCAAGAGGGGGAGGGCTCCCGGGCGCCTGGGTGGCTCAGTTGGTTAAGCGACTGCCTTCGGCTCAGGTCATGTTCCTGGAGTCCCGGGATCGAGTCCCACATTGGGCTCCCTGTTCAGCGGGGGGTCTGCTTCTCCCTCTGACCTTCTTCCCGCTCGTGCTCTCTGTCTCTCACTCTCTCTCTCTCAAATAAATAAATAAAATCTTTAAAAAAAAAAAAGAGGAGGAGGGCTCCCGAGGACCCTGGTGGCCTTGGGCAGGACTTACCGATGGCACTGAGGGCGTGCTTGAGCTCCAGGGCAAAGGCGGTGAGGGGCACATCCTCGGACACAGGCATGACAGCCACCGTGGAGAGGTTGCTGGCGGGGTTCCCCGAGTCCCACTTGCTGCCTGTGGTGTGCAGCCCAAACTGGTGACCTGCGGAGCACAGGGTCGTGCGTCGGCCTAAGAGGCTGGGCTGCGGCTGACAGCCTCTGAGTGTCTCCGATTGTTTCTCGAGGGCACCAGGACACAAGGGCCTGGGAGAGAGGAAGGGGCCCCAGGGCCTGCTCCAGGCCTCCATAACCAAAGCGTCTCGTGCCCACCCACCGGACCACCCTGCCTTTCCCACACTGTGAGCACCGTGCAGTTCACACACTCCAGGACTCAGGCCCCACTGATGAGAGGCACAGCATACAGAAAAAACCCTGAGACCCAGAGAACCCTCGGAGGTCCGGCCCGCCTCCTGCCGTGTTTCCACCACGCACTGTAGAAACAGTGAGAGCGACCTGCGGGGCGCAGCAGCCTGAACCTCTGAACAACAGTGCAGTGAGTGCCTCCTGGCCCTGAGACCACGGCTCTGTCCTCTAGATGTGAGGCCCAGGAAACTCAGGGCCTCCCTGGGGGCCCCCCGGCCGCAGGGAAGGAGGCAGCAGGCCCGCCGACCCACAGAGTCATTAGTTGGAGGGTCCCTGGGACTTCATTTCCAACCGTGGTCACTTCTTGGCCAGGAGCAACTCCTATTTTCACGGAAGAGGCGGTGAGGGGTGGGGGGCAGCCTCACCCTCCTGCTGGCCACATCCCAGGCGGACTCCGGTCTCCTGCAACCTGCACGCCAAGCGCTCTCTTCCCGGCTCCCCGACTGCCCGCTGCCCCGGCCTGCTCCGTGCTGCTTGCCTGGCCCAGCCAGCCGGCTGCCAAGCCCCCGCCTCCCACGCAGACCCTCCCGACCTCTGCAGCGCATGCACCGGCCACACCGGAAGGGCCGAGCTCCTCCAAGACAGCGTCCGTTTCTGAGTCTGCTCATCTCACCCTGGGTGAGGAACGGCAGTTCTTGAGTCCCGGGTGTGTCCCTGCATGGCCTGACCCAGAAACCAGAGGGGACGCAGGACAGCAGAGAGAGGAGGCAGCCCAGGGCTGGTCTGGGGCAGGGAAAGAAAAGGCCACGAGCTGGTCAGGGGGTGCACACAGGGTGGCAGAGGGGCCTCTTTGCAGCAGTTTTCCCACAGCTTCTCCTCTGGGAAGCCCCCTCCTCTCTGTCTTTTCTAGCGACCTCTGATGTCAGAACCCTCCGTCGGAGGCAGAACCAAAGGGGACTCTCTTGCTAGCTTTGCACAGCTCTCTCTTCGCCGTCACCAGAGGCACTGGGAGGTCCTGGTTCCGGCCAAGAGGGAGATAGGGCAGGCACATGCCACCCAGCTGCTGCTGACAGTTACAAGGGGGCTCAGAAGGGTGCAGAGAGGAGGGCAGACGGGACGGACCGGGGCCTCCACCCCCCACAAGCACTCCACCAACACAGCGGTGCCCCCGCCCCTCCCCAGCTCCAGCCAGGCAGGCTCCACCCCTCCCAGCCCAGTGCTGCCTCCAGGGGTCCCTCCCAGGGCACCCAGCCTAAGCAGGCACTTGCCTGGGGCTGCAGACACAGTGGGGTGGAGCCCGCCAACTCTCCACACCCTGCACCGGAGCAGGGAAATCGCAGAGAAAAGAGGGACGGAGAAGGAATTCTCGAAACCTAGCATGAAGTCCTGGGCTCACCTCCACGTGGCCCAGCCATGGCACCAGCCGGCCTCCACCCTGGCTCTGGGGAGCGCACAGTAGGGCAGACCAGAGTAATACTGCAAAGGCCTTGAGAACTAAACTAACATTCAAACACAGTCAGGGCCAGGACACGCTCTGTGAATATGAGCACCCCGAAGGTCTGTTAAAACAGGAGATTTAAAAGAGAACCAGAGTCTCATGACATCGTGCCTGAAACACAGGATATAATCCAAAGTTACCAGCTGTACCAAAAGCCAAGAAAATCTCACCTAGAACAACAGCGGAAAAAATGACAACAGGTCATAGAATTTGGAACTACTTGACAAGGACGGTGAAGCAGTGAAACAGCGATCATGACCAGTAAGACACGTACACAAATACAATGAACAGAGACCAGAGCCAACGACCCTGAAGACAGACCACAAGAAACTATTCAGTCTGAACATCGGACGAAGGAAAAAACCAGCTGTGCCCAAAAGGCCTCAGAGACAATAACAGAAGGTCTGGCATCTGTGTCACTGGATTTCCGGAAGAGGATAAAGAGGACAGAGCTGAAAGAATATTTGAAGAAATAAAGGCTGAAAACTCCCCAAGTTTGGTAAAAGACATCAATCTATAGATTCAAGAAGATGAGCATTTAGTCTCTAAAAACTAAGGACAAAGACAAAGTCTTGAACGCAGCCAGAGAGAAAGCATGGAACAGCCGTGTGTGGGCCTCTCATCAGAAGCCGCAGAGGCCGGCGGCGGCGTGTTCCCCAGGTGCCGCGGCGAAGGGCCCACTGGTGCAGCGTCCACGAGCAAGTCCTGGGGATGAAGTAAAACAGACAGCCTCAGATGAAGGGAATTCAGAGAACAGGTAGCCAGCGGGCCGCCGGGATGAAGAGTGGCAGAGCGTAGGTGTTCTAGACGATTCTCCGCTCGCGCCTCCACAGCATGTTTGCTGGCTGAACGCAGACGTCCCCATGCTGCGTGAGGGGCTCACTGAGCACAACCCCAGCTACGGGGGCCACTCGGAGTGATGGGGCCATGAGGAATGGGAGCTGCGATCCCACAGCAGCTGTGGAAAGTTCCCTATGAAGATGCACACTGGAACCACGACCGAGAAATACGAGCGGAATACTCAAAAAGGCTGAAGGAACTCCAGAGAGGATGGGAAGAGGAACCGGAGAAAGGACGTGAGGGGAGGACAGGCGCCAGTCCCAGCCCAGGAGAACTGCTCCACACAGGGGGTCTGCACACAAACCACACGAGGGGTCAGGTGGGGGCGCCCGGGGAGCTCAGGCGGCGGAGTGTCCGCCTTCGGCTCGGGCCGTGATCCCGGGGTCCTGGGACTGGTCAGTGGGGAGCCTGCTTCTCCTTCTCCCTCTGCCCCCCAGCTCTCTCTCTCTAATATATAAAATCTTAAAAAAACACACAAGTTGCCAGGTGGGATGACAAAAACACAACCCGACTATATGCCGTCCACAAGAAACCCGCTTCGAACATAACCAATACCACGTGCTGGGCCGTGCTTCCCATGTCCACCCCGGACCTCAGAGCGTGGCCTCGTTTGGAAACGGGTCTTTGCAGACGCAGTCAATCGAGATGAGCTGCGCCGGATTCGGGTGGCACTGGCACGCTTTGCTGCTCCACGGGGCACACCGGCCACCCCAGTGCCCGGGGCACTGCCAGGAGACACAGGGCCGCCCTCCCGCAGCTCGTGAGCCGGCATGGGGCACAGACCACACAGGAGGAGGAGGGAGCGGCGGGATGAGCCAGGGAATTGAAATGAAGTGGAAAAGGGAAACTGAGGGGTGCAGGGCTTGGAGTGGCCGGTGGGTGTGGGGCTCTGCTGAGGGGGTTCCGGCAGAGGGGACAGCAGGCCAAGGCAGGTGTGGGTGGTTCCCGCCGCTGCTGACCAGGACAGGGGGCCAGCGAGTATTTCACAGCGCACTTTCTCAGAATTAGAACCAGAAGAGAACACACAAGCTGACGGGGAAAGGCCCAGCACTGGAGAATCACCTGCTCTGCACAGGTCAGACGGCCGCCCACCAGTCCCCCCAGTGCCAGGTTTAAATCCGCGCTCCACGGGGACCAGGGCTTCCCTCCCACACTGCCCACGGCCAGGCCTGTAGCAGCCATGGGGCAGGTGGGGCCTCTGGGCCAGGAGGGCGGGGCTCCCCAGGACACACCTGTCGCAGTTCCCTGCTGGAGGCTGCCCAAAATCTTCTCACCCAAGAGGTGAATCAGCCGCGTCACAACCTGGGGGCAGAGAAAGAAAGGAGGCCACACATTTGAACCAAGAAGAGAAGCACCCTGGATCCACATTTTCAAAACCACCATGTCTGTAAACCCCTCTGGGCTGAGGGCAGTGGGGTGGTGGCAGGCTGGTCACTGGGCGGGGGGCCCCAACTCTATGGGATGAGGGGCTGCCCCACAGAGAGCTCGCCAGGGGCCAGCAGGTGTGAGGGGCACATGTCCTGTGACCTGGCGCCCGAGCCAGGGTCTCTTTTTACTTCCAGGGCAGGGAAGCACCAAGGGAAGCCACGACCACCCCTCCAGACTGCCTTCTCCAAATTCCGAGTTCACCTTTCCCAAGATGCAGAGCAAGAAAGCCCTGAACTGCGGGAACCACACATTCCTTGTACTTGCTCCTACCTGTCCCGAGACTCCTCACTGGTTTTATTATTCATTTATTTATGATTTTTATTTATTTATTTGAGATAGCGAGAGAGCACAAGCAGGGGGAGAGGCAGAGGGAGAAGCAGGCCTCCCGCGGAGCAGGGAGCCCGATGTGGGGCTCGATCCCAGGACCCCGGGATCATGACCTGAGCCGAAGGCAGACGCCCAACGACTGAGCCCCCCAGGCGCCCTCCTCACTGGTTTTAAACACCACTTGGGACGTTGCTCGTCTTGTGGGATGGGCCAGGCAGGCTTCACTCGCTGGGTCCCCGCATCCCCCTCCTGCCTCCTGGCAGTGCCCAAGTCACCTGTCCCAAGGCCCTTATCCCCACGTGCTGGTCCACACGGACACTTCCTTTAAAACGTGCAAACTGCCTGCTCCAGGTCTCTCCAATCTGCACCTCACTCCAGTACTTAGAAGGATGCAGGCCGGTGCCTGATAATCCTGAGTTCACGGTCTGGACGTCCCGCTTCCTGAAGGCAGCCCCAACAGGAGCGCTTACCTGTGGGTACCTGCGCTTGATGGATGTCAGGGCTCCTGTCGGAAGCTTGGCCAGCTCGGAGTCCCGAACAGCATGCACTGTCGTCGCCCTGGCCTGGTGGGTGAGCGTCTCCACCTGAAGAAGAGAGGCTGGGGAGGCGCGGCCATACCGCTCACGCCCTCCAGCCCTGCAGACCCAACCAGAGGGCAGAGCACATGGCCGCCCTTCTGGAACATGGCATACGGGGGAAACAGGAAGAGAAGTGGCTAGTCCAGCCACGTCCGTGCTGTTGGAGGAGCATCAGTGAGGGCTCGCCAGAGGGCGCGCCGGGACCTGGGGTCAGGCACCCGGAGGACACCACCTAGCCGGGGCCTCGTCCTACGTGAGTCTCCGAGGAACTACCTTGGGGTATGTCTTCCTGGCAGGGGCGAAGGGGCTGCCCAGGTGCCCCCCTGCGCAGCTCTGCCTGGAGACTTTCAGAAGCGACTGTGCCACGCAAGTCAGCCCCCCAGGAAAGGCGTGCCCCAGACCAGGCGGGTAGGGGCCCTCCTCAGGCCACTTCCATGGGCCAGAAGCCACCCTGGGGCAGAGCATGGTGAGGAGGGAGCCCGGCCCTACCACACCAATGAGGTCTCCGCGGCCATACTCCCCCGCCAGGCGCTTTTTGCCGTCGTCCTTCCGGATCACCGAGCGTAGCCGGCCACTGAGGACGATGTAGGTGCAGTCTGACTTGTCCCCCTGCCTGCGCGGACAGAGGCTGTTGGGAGCGGAGGGGCAAGGCCAGGAAGCCCTCCCCACTTTGAGGTGGGGGGAAGAAAAAGAATGCAATCTTCTCACTGTATTTTTTCGTTTCGGAAAATACAGTTACTTTCCGTTAAAAAATACATATGCCAGGGGCCCCTGGGTGGCTCAGTTAAACGTCTGCCTCTGGCTCGGGTCGTGATCCCGGGGTCCTGGGACCGAGCCCCGCGTCGGGCTCCCTGCTCGGGGGGAGCCTGCTTCTCCCTCTGCCCTGCCCCTCCCCCTGGCTCCTGCTCATGCGCTCGCAGACGCGCGCACTCTCCCTCAAAGAAATAAAGTCTTTTAAAAAGATAGTGTTTTAAAATAAATAAAAACACATATGCTGATATATAAGTGGCTTATTGTGATTTTTAAATAAACGATTAAATACTCAAAATGTCCTCAGCTTTAATTTTCCGCACCGTGAAGATGGACAGCTGTGACCGCATCTGTGACACGGACATCAGGCGCCCAGACAACACCCCAGGGGGACACTCGGCACGCGAGCACCTTCACCAAAGCCATTCTGACGTCACCCCTGCTGGGCCACCTCAAGGACAGCGTGACTTGCAGCGAATGACGTGGGAAGACGCCCGTGAGAAAGCGTGAGTGTCCGAGTGTGCGCACGCTCACGGGTGTGCTGACCTCGGGGGCAGAGCCGCGTCTGTCAGTGGCACCGTCTTCCCAGCGTGGAGTGTGGAGGGCAGAGACCCGCGCCCCACGGGCCCCACCTGTATACCGCGCGCCCGGCCTCCACCTCCATCCAGTCCAGCGCGAAGTCGATCTGCCTCACGAACGACGACACGCGCTTCACCACGGTGTGCGCGACACCCAGGACCACCGTCGGCTGCTTCCGCATGATTCTGCCGAGCCAGCCCAGAGTCACGCCTGCCCCACCACGGCCACAGCCGATCCCGCCGGGGCCACCCCTTCCCTCCAGGCCACAGCACTTGCGAGCTGGCAGGACCCACACCCCCATTTACCAAACGGTGATGCCACGTGGCAGGTGACAGAGACACAGGCCCAGGGCTAGGACCGAGCTCGGTGCCCGCTCAGCCACCTGCTCCATCATGCCCATGTACACCGAGCGGCCAGCAGCCCTGGGAGAGCCCCCGGAGCTCCCTGCCCGCTGCCATCTACCTCACAGATGTGCTCAGAGCACAGGCCTCCCATGGGGCTCGAACCTGGGAGTGGGATGCAAAGTCCCTGCCCCCGCAATGTGCCACGAAGTCCGGAGTGAGTGGAGAAAGGGGCTGAGAGGGGGCACAAGACTGAGGGTGAGGCTGAGAGGTCGGAGGGCAGCGACCAGGTGGGGCCTTGAGCCAGGAAAGGCACTGGGTGGATCCTGGGCATGATGGAGTCCCTGGCAGGCTCTGGCCAGCAGGAACACAATGGACCTGGTTCCCTGGTTGCCATGTGTGAACAGGCTGCTGGGGGTGAGGGCAGAAATAGGGTGTCCCCTAGAGTGTGAAGGCTTCTGGAAGGCAGCAGCAGGGGCATGGCCAGCTCAGGGGCTGCAAGCCAGACTGGGGCCCCTCTAGGACTCGGCCCGAGCGATGGGCAGGTAAGAGTCACCAGTCACAGAGTAGACAAAAGTGGGAGCAGAAGCAAAGTGGGGGGAAATCTACGGTTCAGCTTTGAGCAACAGATTAAGGAAGCCCCTGAGGCACCCCCGGGGGGGTTGTCAGGACAGCAGGCCGACACACAAGCCTGCGCTCAGGAGGGAAGTTTGGGGGGAGACGTGAATTTGGTACATAAAGACCCAGGATTGGATGAGATTGCTCAGGACACCAGTCAGACGACGTCTACAGGGCAGGAGCCGGGCTGGACTCACAGCAGGTCGGGGCCCAGCAGGCACTCACTCATAGAAGTGTGCCTTGGAGACGGAGAGGAAGCTGCAGTCCCTGTTGGCCTTGATGGTGAAGATGAGGGGCTCCCCCGTGAGCACGGCCAGCTGCCCCACCACCTCCCCGGGGCGCACGACGAACAGGCAGGTGTCCTCCTCACAGTCAATCTTCCGCTGGTACACGTGCAGCAGCCCCGAGACCACAAAGAGGATGTTCACGTCCTGACCAAACAAGGGGTGTGGGCTGGAGACCACGGCAGCTCTGCCACGGGCTGGGCTTCTGTGTCCGCGCGGTCTCGGGTCACTGTTCCTGGGCCCGGGCTCTCCCATGGTTTCATCGTTTGATTCTTTAGTGGCAGAAAGCCTAGCCACAGACGCTTACCCGCCCGCACATCAGCGGGTCTGTGCTGCCCACGTGCTCCCTTCTCTCTCCACGAGGCCCTGCTGAGTCTCCCGACCGCCCCCCCCACACCACGTCTGCCAGGTGTGCCTGTGAGGGACTCCGATGCCCACCTCAACTCACCTGTGTCCATCACCTGGCCTCTCTCCAGACCTGCTCACCCTGCTCTCGTCTGACCCCTCCTCTCTGGTCTGAGCAGGAAAGGGCCAGTGCAGGGCTCTGGGAGGCCCGAGGCTTGGCCCTCAGGGTCTGGGAGGCCAGGGGCAGACAGAGGCCGGCTCTGCACCCCGTGCCCCCCACACAGCCTCCGAGGGGCCCCGGGTACCGTGCGTCACAGAAGGCAGTAGCGAGGACTGAGGCCTGCAAGTAGGTGAGCGCTTTCCTGACCTATGGCCCAGACTGACTGGCATAAGAAAGTCAGCCAGCAGTCTGCTTCCTCTGGGGAAAAGGAAGAGCCTTTCCTGGTCATGGTACAGACAAGAGGGAAGAAGGGGGAGAGGGAGAGGGAGAGGCAGGGGCACCAATGCCCTCGGACAGCCTCAGACAGTCCCCTCGGGGGCCTGACGCCACCCTGCCCCCCAGGCTGGACCGCCTCGCCTTCCCCATCCAGGGCCCACAGGCTCCTGCTGCCGGGGCTCGTCTGTCCCCCAAGTCCTACCCAAGTCTGCACAGCCAGCTGCCATCACCTGGACCCCTATGAGGCAGGAGTGGAGGCCCAGGCTCGGTCTGCTCTCCCAACAAGACAGACCCGTCTCACCAAACCTGCTCTAAAAGCAAACTAGGCAAAACACTGTCCACCATGCTAGCGCAGGAGCCAGAGAAAACGCAGCTCCTACAGAGAGAGACCCCCAGACCACGCCAGCACCAGGGGAGACGAGCTCCCAGGAGGGCAGAAGCTGTGGAGGTTATCTTTGCCTGCCCAGTGCGGCTTTCAGAATCAGAAATTAGGTCCATTTCATTAGAAAAATATTTTTCATCTGTATTTGGATCTGAGAATTGGGGAAACAAAAGCATCTCTTCTGCACCTGACTGTGAAATCAGTGATGACTCCTGTTCGAATGCACATACGCGAGCGTCCATGAGCGTGGACACGCACCCTCCCCCACGAGGACAGGCCACAAGCCCGGGGTAAAGAGAGAGCGCCCCAGAAACGGGGACGACAGGCCCTGCATCACGCGTCCAGCGCGGGCCCGGGCTGGGTCACAGGGAGGCTGCCTCCTCAGCGCTCCATCCAGCGCTGGCCACAGCACTGGGCAGGCCTGGGGACCGCTCCCTCCCACCGCAGCCTTTTGCTCACCTGGTCTCCCTGCCTCGACACCACTGTGCCCCCCGGAACATGGAGAAGCGTCACCCGGCCATCCAAGAGCGAGGCGTCCTAAAAACAGGAATGCAGGAATCAACGCAAGGAGCGCGGACACGCGCTGAGGACCACCACCAAGCTGGACCCTGCACAGCCACCCACTCAGACTGAGGCTGTCGGCGCAGGACACCCCGTCAGGGGCCCCGGGGTCTTGTGAGCTCTACCTCCAGGAGCTCAAGCGGGCTCCCACAGGAAATGGAGAAAAATGCCCTTGGGTCTCAGTGGTGGGGGGGGGGGACCATTTGGGACACCCCCCCCAAAGCATTCTGTTCTCCACAGGCTTGCCCTCAGGGGAAACTATTTCAGCAGAGCCTAGCCTGCTGGTGTCCCTCGGGGCCTCACTGACCAGGGGAAGGAGAGGTCAGGGTGAAACACAAGATCGATCCAGACGCACAGCCCTTGCTGAAGACAGACCAACGCAGGGGTCACGGCGTGTCCCGCTCCCCATGCCTTGCCGCCACATCACTCCACGTCTGTGGACTGCAGTGCCTTCTCTTTCTTTTCTCATCAATTATAAGTTTAATATAACAAATGTTAAAAGCAGCAATTCAAAACCATGAATGTTTTCAAAGGCTCACGGGGTTACTACAAGGTCAGCTGGCAATAATGCAGCTACTATCTGGCTGGATGAAATGCTGGGGTGTGGAGTCAGGGTATGCTGACGTCCCAAGTGAGGAAGACACCTCCCCCCGTTCCCCCTCTTCAAGCCCAGAGCCTAGGGAGCCTGAGTGGGAGGTGCAGGTGCACTGAGACAGGCCTTGCTCATCCTGTGCTTCCTCAGAGGCCTAGAAAGCAGGCCTGGGAGGTTGCTGTGCCCTCGGAGGCCAGGCAGGAGCCACAGATTGGATCCCAGGTTCCTGAGAAAGGACTGGGCCCAGCCCCAGCTGCTCCCCGCCTGGACCACGCTAGGGAAGCGGAGGGAGACCGCAGTTCCTCTGACCAGGGACGTCGTGTCCTACTATCAAGAAACAGCCACGAGGTGCACAAAACACACATGGGCAGAGGCAGACGCAGACCTGCTGGGGGTGCTGGAATTCTCAGACCAGAATTTTAAACAACTGTGGTTAATACAGGCTAAGGGCTCTAGGATGAAGTAGACAGCATGCAAGAACACACAGAGGTGGAAATCCTGAGAACCAAAGAGAAAAGCTGGAGATAAAGACAGGGTGGCAGAAATGAGCCCTTTGACGAGCTCATCTGCAGACTGGACTCGCTGAGCAGAGTCTCGACGCTTGAGAACACAGCAATAGAACCCCTGAAATTGAAAAGCAAGCAAGCAAACAAAACTGATAAACAAAGAAGACGATACCCAAGGACTGTGGGACAATGACAAATGTGTAACATACACATGATGGGAAGGCCAGGAGGACCCCCCCCCAATTAATGGCCCAGGAATGTCAGAGAACGCCAAGCAGGATAAATGCCAAAAACCCACACCCAGGCACATACAGCACCTTCAAACTACTGAAAATCAAAGATAAAGATCCTGGAGGAAGCCGGAGGGAAGAAACACCTGATCTAGAGAGGAACAAAGATAAGAATGATATCGACTTCTCCTCGGAAAGCACGTGAGCAAGGAAAAAGTCGAGTATTTAAAATGTTGAGAAAAAAACACACCAACCTAGAATTCTGTACCCAGTGAAATCATCCTTTAAAAGTGAGGGAACAATGAAGATGTCTAACAAATGAGAACCAGGGACTTTGTTGCCAGGAGACCTGCCCTGAAAGATGTTCGAAGAACTCCTTCGGAGAGGAGAGAATGATCAAGGTCAGAGCCACAGATCTCCATAGAGAAAGAGCACAGGAGAAGAATCCAGCGAAGGCAAAATTAACACTTTCATTGTCCTCCTTTTTTTTTTTTTTTTTTTAAAGATTTTTTATTTATTTATTTGAGAGAGAGAATGAGAGAGAGAGAGCACACATGAGAGGGGAGAGGGTCAGAGGGAGAAGCAGACTCCTGCCGAGCAGGGAGCCCGATGCGGGACTTGATCCCGGGACTCCAGGATCATGACCTGAGCCGAAGGCAGTCGCTTAACCAACTGAGCCACCCAGGCGCCCCCTTTTTTTTTTTTTTTAAAGATTTTATTTATTTATTTGACAGAGAATGAGCACAGGCAGAGGGAGCAGCAGCAGAAGGAGAACCCACACGCCCGTTTGTTTTTTTTTCAAGATTTTATTTTTATTTTACACCCAGCATGGGGTTTGAACTCACAACCCTGAGATTAAGAGTCACATGCTCCAGGCACCTGGGGCGCTCAGTCGGTTAAGCATCCACCTTCGGCTCAGGTCGTGATCCCAGGGTCCTGGGATCGAGTCCCACATCAGGCTCCCTGCTCAGTGGGGAGTCTGCTTCTCCCTCTGACCCTCCCTCCAACTCGTGCTCTCCCTCTCTCAAATAAATAAATAATATCTTTAAAAAAAATAGTAAAGAGTCACACACTCCGCTGAGAGAGCCAGCTGGAAGCCCCTCCCTGTTCTTTTTTAAATTTTTTTTTTTTTAAAGATTTTATTTATTTATTTGAGAGAGAGAATGAGAGAGAGAGCACATGAGAGGGGAGAGGGTCAGAGGGAGAAGCA